AATTATCCCAACTCCCAGGGACTTAGCTTCCTCCTCAGCCCACCTTTCCTTTTTAGTCATACCACGACAGACTAAACTTCTCTCGTCTATGGTCTTAACAGTGGTTTGATACTGGTTTTTCTCGTCTAAATTTATGGTTCTCTTCAGTATATATAAAGATTGCTTCCTCACTGAGCTCTCTTTATCAACCTAAGAAGATTACAGATATTAGATAATAATAATAAAAACGTTACTTGTAGGCTTGTCGCAAGCGCTATTATCAAACAATGGAAACACATTATAGTAGATGCACAACATACCAAGCCTTTTTTCATTTCATCCCAGAATTGTTTCTCTGCTCTCAAATCAAACACTTCTGCCGTGCTACTCATATAAATATACTGGCATTCATCAGTATAAGTAAAGAGAGACAGGTACAGAGAAAGTATAGAATATGCATCTCTTCTCTCCAGGGGCCCCAAAGAAAACAATGTCTTGCAACTCTTCCATAGTTTCTCTAAAATATTTCTCCTAAAAGAGCAATAATCTAGTGGCATAAGTCCAGAATTCAGACACTTTATACATGAATAAGACATCATCATTTCATGTCCATTTAAAAAGCAAGAGAATTTTACCGAGAAAGTATATAGTTCTGTCCATTAATTGAGACTTCAAAAGCAGAATGAGAATCAAGCGCTCTGAATATGGAGGGCAGCAAAAAGGTAATTGCAGAAGAACGATGCTCCAAGCTTTGTGAAAGCATTTGAATTGTAATATTGCAAAGATCCCAGAGCAACTTTGCAGAAAATATATCAGTGCAGCATCCGTCTACGGAGTCCAATCCAGATACTGATCTCACTGTATGTAAACTTTGCTGAGCAGCATCTAGTATCAAGGTTAAAATATGACAAGAAACAGGCAGCGGCAAATAGTTAGGATTGCATTGCACAAGATTGTCATATATCTCGTTGTCTCTTAACTGTGAACATAAATTTAGTGTGCACCGTGGCTCCAAATGCCGGTCTTCCGAATAATTAGAAGTCATGCACCATTTATAAGCATCTAACTCTTCACTTTGAATCTCAGTCATAGATAGTCTGACCAATCCTAACAAAAATGGGATAATGGTTACTTCAACAACCCCCCAACTGTTTGTGTCAGAGACAACACTGAAAGTCATGCCTGCAACCTAAATCCGTCGTCACATTCAGTCGGAGAAAATCAGAAACCAAAAAAAAAAAAAACCCCATCACCTATAATCTGAAGTCCATAAAATTTTATATATATCCTTATTCAACAGAAATGAATATTTTTACCTTGTTAAATAATTCACGATCAATGGAATGAACCAGCTTCATTAGGGGAAAAAATATTTTCCAAATCAATAACTGCATATATCTAGTCTCAGCTCCTGCAGAAAAGGTATAAAAGGTATCAAGCCAGTAAAAAGTTTTGCGCCAAATGAAACGATTTGAAGCCTATAACTAGAATTCAACAAAAACTCTCTGTCCGACAAACTAATATTTCTAAGCCTCACAGACCAACAACAACATCAACCCAATAATCATCCTACTAGTGAGGTCTGGGGAAGCCTCACAGACCACAATGGTTAAAATATTTGGAGGAATGAATATGATCCTTAAGATAGGCAAGCTACATAATGATGCGACATAAATGCACAACCAGGAGCAATTCCAAAATTTTTGTATGACAAGCCACAGGAAAAAAAAAGGGCAGCCCGGTGCACTATGCTCTCGCTATGCGCGGAGTCGGGGAAGGGCCGGACTACAAGGGTCTATTGTAATTCGTATGCAGCCTTACCCTGCATTTATGCAAGAGGCTGTTTCGACGGCTCAAACCCGTGAACTCCTGGTCACATGGCAGCAACTTTACCCCATCTACGCCAAGGCTCCCACATGGCAGCAATAACAAAGCAAATTTCCCACATGACAAGCCACAGAGAAACTTCAAAATAATTTTATTTTAATATGCGTTATATTTTGTATGTGAGTAATATAAATGCAGCAGTATTTAAAGCGGTGAACTGATGACCACTCAGACAAGGTGATATACCAAGCTGAGAAGGGCCCTCACTGCTTGTCCCACTATATCTAGCACTTGAAGTTCGACAATTGTAATCTTCTTGAGATTGTGCCAAACCCATTAACTATTTCCTATATTCGAATGGATTGAGTTGAAGAAGTTCAAAATAAAGTCTGACATGGAAAATGTGAAAAAATGTACCAATCTTATTTAATGTAAAGAACCAGATTTATGCAAAAGATATTCATTCATTTGAATCGGGAAAAGGAAAAATGAAATGAAATGTCAAAGTAGCTATTCATTATAATTTCCCACATTACCTCTTTCTTTCTTTTCTTTTATAAGTGCCTACCCCCCCCCCCCCACCCACCTTATCTTCAGTCTTACATTGAAAGAAATTTTTCTTTCAAGGTTTCAGTAAAAAATAGTCATGATTCAACTCTTGGTTCAAAGAAAGCGTCATGGACTCGCGGGAATAAGCAACCTCAATTTAAAGTAGATGGCCCCGTTGCTTGGAAACAAGGAACTATATCATCCATTCAGTATGCAACACAGCGTAATAAATCTCTTAACGGGAAATTAGAAATAAATTAACCATTCTCAAATCATTTTATCTTACACAGTCACATGGTAAAAGATAACTTCTGGCGGTTGATACACTATGTGAATCATTAACAACTATTGAAGATGAGTGGGACCATTGAGAAAGTTTAAGAATTTGACTTGTTAGAAATGAGGATCTATTAAGTAGTGTTTGGTTTTTATTGGAAGATTTTATTTTCCTTGAAAAAGTTAAAAAAATTTTATGGTAATAACAAGGACTTAAAACTCACAAGCCACTAAAATATTTTGAACCATGACTACGTGTATCCTTTTCTATGCTCAAAGCAAAGGATATTTTCTAATTTTGAGAACACAAAAGAATGCCTCAGTGACAATCAACTATACGAGGGGAAACCTAGAAGGATATCAGTCTGTCTCAGACCTAATTGAGACTCTTGATGCAAACCAAGCAGTGTTGACAACCTAATATAACACACTTGCAAAACAAGAATCCAGGAATAAAAGATTTTTAGCTGCACATACTTTGGCTGTTAAAGCACAGTCCTGACTAAGTCTTATGCCCAATAAATCCATGAATGTATCTGACCTGACTTCTTCAGAAGGTGACAAATTGCACTAACAAACGAAACGACACAGTTGCGCTGCTCAAAATCCAAATGTTTGTTCCCATCTACTATACCCTACCAAAGGCACCAAACACCAAAGAACATTTAACAATCAAAATATTTTTTACTCCAACTCCCACATCAATGAGAATATAGTACATAAAAAAATAAGAAGAAAATGATATCAAAACTTCAAGTCTCAATGATCAAAGCCAATAATAAAGCAAATTTTTGACAATGATAAAGGATTTTCCGGGGAAAAGTGAAGAAGAAAGATTTACATGTCTATAATGAAGCATATAGATATGTGAATCTTACTGCGTCACTGATATCAGATTCACATATCCCTTCTTTTCCTTTTTACGTATTTTTCTTTTTCCTTTATGATAGGCAAACAATTTACTAAACGAAAAACTTATTAAAAAAAAAAACAATTTCTTAAAAAGAAACAACCCAAGGAGGATGCATTGGGCGGATGCAAGTATCAGCTCAACCTCTGTATATATAGTTATTACTTTTCAGAAAACATAAACCCACACGAGTTCATACACATTGTCACAGAGGTGAATTGGGTTCGGCAACCACTAATTTAAAATCCTGCATCTGCCTCTAGGGATGCAACTGTATACAATTAAGTACAGAAGCTCTAAAAGATAAACCTTGATAACAAGAGGGTGTCCGAGTTAGCTTGCGCGCACCATGGCTAATTCCGCCGAGTACCTGCTACCTCCCACCAGCACAGGCACCAGGTAACTTTGTCCACCCCACAAAATAGACTGTTATACAATAGGTAATTTGCTATAACCTTCGAAAGCAGTTGCAAAATGAGTAGCTCACGTGGATGGCCATTAAGTACTAAGTTATTTAGCTCGTTTAGCAATACTTATTACTTATGGCTTAAGTTAGCAGTGCATTTTAGCTTCTTTAGTACATTCTAGGTCTATGAATAATACCTTGCTGAAAGTGGGAAACTCGTTGAGGAGAGTAGAGAAAATTGATGAAGGAGCAGCGTTTGTTGAAGCCAATATACAGTCCAGCATCGCCGGAATTGCTGCCGGAGGTACTTGCCGGAAACTGCTCAGAAGTGAATCGACGATTGGGTCCATTGGTGTAGCCATCGGCGAGTCCAATTCCGCAGAGGAAATAAGTAATAATGGAGTTTTAACGGCTAGTTTTTTATGCCGATAAACCCTAAAACCAGAGAGAGCGCCAGCGAGCTGGGGTTTGTGGAGATAGTTGGAGTTTGCAAATATGTCATCCTACTTTTTTGTATTTGTATTTGTATCTTAGAACTTAGGAAAAGGTCCAAATGTATGCCTTAGATATGTCTTTCCTTTACTTTTTGGCTCATAAGAACCCTATCCTTATTTTTCGTCCCAAATATGCACCTCTCGCTAAAAGAAAAAAATTGTCCAAGTAATGTAGTGGTATATTGAATATTTTCAATTGTCATGAATATATTTGAACTTTTTCAATTATATTAAACTCAATTTGAAAAGATTTCTGTTGTTATTATGGCTAGCTAAACCCATAAGCTAGGGTTGTGGCTCAACCCTAGTGTGGGTAATTAATGGGTATGATTGTTTAATGCTTGTATGATGTTGGGTGTTTGATATTTGGGTTATTTTTATGTTTTCACTTGGATTTGGTGGTTGCAAACACTAAGTCTAGCTTTGTGAGTNCACACACATATATTGTAATTAAGTGGCCTATATTATACTTTGTAAATGTAGGGATTATAACCCCAACCATCCCTATAGTCTTATTTGTTAAGCTTTGAAGCATTCTGAGTTTCTGTATTTTCCAAACATGGATCCCTCATTAACCAAATCACATATCCCGCCGGAACCTCCGGATAAGCACAACCAAATGGATGTAGAACCAGTCCAACCAACACACTCCTATAAGGAAATGCTCTTGGACAAACCGGAGAGCCATCAATCTGATTACTACGAAGACGACTCCCGTCCAAGTTCAGATCTCGATAAAGGGAAACACATAGAAGGCCCAATCCCCCTTTCCCACGACGATAAAAAACGTCTCTACCTTCCATGGCGTTACTCTGTAATCATCAAGGTCTTTAAGCGAAAGATGTCACACCATTTCTTTCGATCTAAACTAATTGAACTATTGAAGCCATCCGAACAGTTAATTTCGATTGACCTAGGATGGGACTTCTACATAGTCGAATTTAGTTTAGAAGAGAATATGGTTAAGGTACTCCACCTTGGACCTTGGTTCATCTCGGGAAACTTCTTGTCTGTGCGGAAATGGAAACCAAAATTCGTTCCCCAAGAGGCTACCCTTACTTCGACTGCCATATGGATCCGGCTTTCACAACTACCAACAGAATTCTACTATAAGGATATCCTAGAAAAGGTTGGAAGGAAGCTGGGCAAACTACTAAAAAACTGATCAATGCACCTCCTCTAATCTCAGGGGACGATATGCCCGTATTTGTATTCAAGTGCCACTGGAAACCCCAGTGGAAACATCGGTCATAATAGGAGACCATAAATAGACAGTGATCTACGAAGGAGAAGGGACTCTGTTCACCGCTTGCGGCAGAATTGGGCATATTGCAATACGTTGCAATTACCGGTCCTCCACACCCAAAACAACTCAAGGAACACAGGAAACACAACAGACGAATGCAGTGCAGGCGGAGGAGAGTGAGTGGAAAACCGTCACCCTTCCAAGAAGAAGGAAGCAAGGGCTAGCAAAATCATATAATAAAAATGGCACAGGATTAAATAGTCCACACCAAACTCCACATGCAGATCATATATAGGTAAATCTGTTCGATGCTAACTCAGGTAAATTCCTTCAAACTCAATCTATGCGTTACAATTCAAAAAAGTCAACCCCTCCCAAATTTCGCAAAAAAAAAGGGCTAATGGCCCAATAAACAACGCAAGCCCCACCAAGCCACAGCGACTGACCCAACACTGGTTACAAGCCAGTGCACGGGCCTAGCCCAGTACAGGCACCAAACGGAAGGCGGGGCCGGGGCCTATGAGTTCACTGACCCTAATCATGAACTCCTCGTTCAAGGCGCCACTTTGAGCCCAACTTCCGAGGTCTCTCATCTCAAAGATGGAGAGATACCCAATGGGGTCGGTCTCTCCTATCCAAATGGGAACCACTCCCAAATAGAAATTGTCAGCCCATCTAACCCCCCATATACACCCACCTATGCTTCCCCTACCAAACCCTCTGAATCAATCTCTAATGGGGAAATCCTAACAGTCGCCACCAACAATCAAGTGCCCTGTCTGGTACCCCTTCCAATCCTCGATGAAAAGACTCAAACCGTCAATTCCAATAGATCCACAATTAATGACCAATCCAACCCTAGTTCCGATTACCAGTAACCCCTCCACTGACCGAGATTTGACACTGAGGGGAGCACTCATGGAACGACAGTCCCTTAAGATAACCTCTTCCACTACCCAAAGTAATAATGCCAAGAAACACAAAAATGGAAAAAGACTTGTCACCAGCTATCATCACCTCCCTACCGCCACCACCGGACCACCAACCGGCTTCTTGGTTGGAGGTAGCTCTCCAAGGCCAGGGCATCTCCTACAATTTTCACCCTGGACAACCAGAAGGTGACCTTGATTGTGCAAAACCCGGCTCACCTAGCGAGAGTCACCGTAGAAGTGTTGGGCAAAGCCCTAGCGGCCTTTGGGCCTCTCCTATGGCAGTCGATGGTCAACAGGGACAGTAACTCACCAATAACCGACCCCCAAACAATCAGCAACCACATGCTTCAGAGCTTCCAAACCCTACCATTCTTCCCATCAGCGGAGCCGATCTTTGTAATGCTCGACCACCAAACTCAACAAAAGCCATCATCTTCTGCACCAAGAGAGAAGAGCACTTCACCCCCCCCCCCCTCCACAACATCAAAAAGGGAATCTCCATGGCACTAGACATCCTCAAAAAGAAAAACACACCGAAGGAAGATGGAGCAATCTATGCCCCAACACGAACGAACTTGCTTCTACTGGACTCAGTGAGAGCGATAGAGTTCAGCACATAAACCAGCGAGGTGATAGTTGTTCTCTGCCCCAGATCGATGGTAAAATATGGAATGAGTCTGGTCTCCCTCCAAACCCAAGGACCCATCAAGCCCCTGCTGAACCTGACCCCAGTAATGAGTCTCAAGAGGAAATCCCCCCTCACCTCCATCCAAGTGTCCGCAAGGACTGAGGGACCTCACCAACCACCCCAACCCCTCTGATGAATTACATCATATGGAATGTTAAGGGTGGGAACAATGCCGATTTTAAGAGACACTATCTAGAAATAGTAAAGATGCACAAGCCAGCCATGTTAGTTTTGCTTGAAACTAAGATGGCAGACCACCAGAAGTTGGCACAAGAGCTTCAATTTGACATGATCATCTAGTCACCGGCAGTAGGTCTCTCCGGGGGAATAGTGTTCATGTGGAAAGAAGAGTATGTGGATGTTGAAGAGGTGCCCCCCCCCCCCAAGGCATCCATGCAATGGTAAAGGTGAGTCCTAACCACCCTCCATGTCTCTTCTCTGCTATCTACGCTAGCAATACCCTAACTAATAGGAAGCTCCTATGGGAGAATCTAATCACAATATCAAAGAATCTCACAACCAACTGGTTTGTAGGAGGCGACTTCAATGAAGTCCTAAAGGCCAGGGATAACTTTGGGGGCAACCCTATAACCCTTAGCCGCAGCAATCTATTATGGCAATGTATAAATAAGTGTAAACTTTTAGACCTAGGGTAAAAAGGTAGTAAATACACTTGGTCTAATAAAAGGTACAGTGATAGAACCTCGCTGATTCTGGAAAGAATAGATAGATGCTTCGCTAATGAAGGCTGGATTCAGCAGTACCCTGAGGCAAACTTACTGCATCTCCCTAGGACCTACTCAGACCACTTCCCCCTTCAAATTAATTTGGTAGGCTCTCCAAATAATAACCTACCAAGGCCTTTCAGGTTTGAGTCAATGTGGGCTAGCCACCCATCCTCCCCTAACATCATCAATAGGGCATCCTCAGATCACTCCAACCTACTCCAATCCACTGATTCCTTCAAAACATTGGTCACCAAGTGGAACCGGGAAACATCTTCCACCAAAAGAGAAAAATCCTAGCTAGAATTTCTGGAATCCAGAGATCTCCTAACTACCAGTTCAGTAGTTACCTGCTGCATCTTGAAGCTGATTTGACTACTGAGCTTAACCTAATCCTCAAAAATGAGGAGGATTTCTGGAAACTCAAATCCAAGGATTAATTGGCTTAACGAGGGTGATGCTAGCACTATATTCTTTCACACCTCCACCCTCGATAGGAGAAGAAGGAACAGAATCCCCTCTCTTAAAGAAGAGAATGGAAATTGGCTCCATGACCAGAAGAATATCCAGGCAGCCACCTTGAGCTTCTTCACTGATCTATATACCACATCCCACTCCCAATCCCTTGTGGCTTTCACCAACCACTCCACTATATCCCCCATTATGTCTGAAGCCCAAAAAGCCTTCTTAGACAGACCTCTTGAATTGGGTGAGATAAAAAGGGTAGTTTTCTTCCACAAACCCTTTAAATCTCTTGGCCCTGATAGCCTCCACCCCTTCTTCTACCAAAAATACTGGGACATAGTTGGCGACTCTGTCACAAACTTTTGTAAAAGATGCTTCTCTTCAAATTCTATGGTTGACACCATGAACCAGACTCTATTGTGCCTAATCCCAAAATGCCCCCAAGCTTCAATGTTAAAAAGTTTTAGGCCAATTGGACTGTGTAACACAATATACAAGTCCGTCACAAAAATCATAGTGAACAGAATAAAGCCTATCTTGCCTCGCATCATTGGGCCAAGCCAAGCAGTTTCCTTTCCAATAGGAGAGCCTGCGATAATGCCATCATTGTCCAAGAGTATATCACTCACTTTAGAAAAATGAAAGGTAAGCATGGCAATATGATCCTCAAAATTGATCTAGAAAAGGCCTTTGACAGGCTGGAATGGTCCGTTATTAGAGACACCCTTTCTGCTTTCAATTTCCCCCAAGATCTATCCAAACTCATTATGTCCTGCATCACCTCCTCCTCCATCTCCATTCTTGTCAATGGTGGGAAAACTGAACCCTTCAAACCTTCAACAGGTATCAGGCAGGGAGACCCAATGTCTCCCTACCTCTTCATAATGTGTATAGAAAGATTATCAAGATCAATTGACAAGGCTGTACCGGATAATCAGTGGCAACCAATAAGTATAAGCAGGTCTGGTCCAAAATATCCCATCTTTTCTTCGCATATGAGCTAACCCTCTTTGCTAAAGATAATGACATGAACTATAACACTATCCTTTCCATTATGCAGGAATTCAATAAATAGTCAGGTCAGAAAATTAATCTTGAAAAATCAAGGGTCTTGTTTTCCTCAAACACCCCACAGGACTCCATCCAAAATCGCATCAACTCTATGTCCATCCAACACACTACCTCCTTTGGAAAATAACGTGGTTTCCCCATTTTTCGTAAAGAGCAAACCAGTGTAGACTTTCAATTCATCATTTATAACATGCAATCCAAACTGGCTGGTTGGAAAACAAGCTGTCTAAACATGGCTGGCAAAACTTTGCTGGCAAAAACTTCTTTGAACAACATTCCTAGCCATGTCATGCAGTGCATCAACATGCCCACTAAAATCACCAGGCAGATTGACAAAATCCAAAGGAACTTTCTTCGGGGCACCACTCCTGAAAAGAAAAAGCTCCACATAATCAAGTGGGAGGTGGTCACAAAGAGCAAGGCTGATGGAGGTCTAGGACTCCAAAAGGCTAATCTCAAGAACAAAACTTCTCTCACAAATCTTGCATTGAGGACTTACAAAAATACCAACAGTCTATGGGCAAGAGTTCTAATCCATAAGCACTGTCACATGTCCAATAATGCTAGGATACTTAGAGCCTCTAGATTTCCTAGACATCTAAAATCAGCAACCTGGCAGTTTATCCTAAGGGGCTGGGATACTTGATGCAAAGCAGGCAGATGGGTAGTCCACAAGGGAAACAGGGTCAGTTTCTTAAATGATACATGGATTCCAAATCAGTCAGCAATTAGACAGTTGATTGAGGGCCCTTTAACCTAAAACGACCTCAATGCCAAGGTTAGCTTAATCCACAATCTAGGAACTTGGGACACTTCCTCCCTGTCTATTGTTCTTCCCCCAAGTATCCTAAATCTGTTAAACTCGGTGTTCATTTCCCCAGCTCCAACAAAGGAATACAACCTCATATGGAACTTGACTCCGAATGGCCAATTCACAAATAAATTTGCTTACTCCTTCCTAAGTAGGAGTGACCCCGGCCTTCATCCTCGTGAGGAAGGCTCCTTCAAATGGGTCTGGAAGCTACAAGCTCCAAACAA